CGTAGTTGCTCTACGTGGATCTGTTTCTGTTGTTGTTTGGGGGGGGGTACGGGGGTGGGGGTGGGGGTGGAGGTGGGGGGTGCAGGAGGTGGGAGGTGGGAAGATCCAGCCAGCCTTGTGCTGCCTAACCTGAATCGAATCGTGAGGGAGGAAACATTTTCCTATCAGGAGACCTTCTGCAAAACAACCGGCCTTGACTCTCTTGGAAGAAGTCAAGGTTAAGGACAAGGCCAGGAGGAAATGCTCGTGTTAATGGACACCAGAGGCAGCTCTCTGAGCAATCAGGTGACATCCCGGTGGTGAGGAAGACGCTTGATGAAATTTGAATGAGTTCAGTGCATTAGATAGTGGTAATTGATCCACGGGAATTTTTCTGATTTTGATGATTGCCTTGCGGTCATTAAAAAGAATGTCCTTGTTCTTAGCAAATGCAAATACACGCTGAAGTACTTAGGGACAAAGGGGCATGGTATCTCCAGTGTTTTCTCAAATGTTTCTGGAAATGTAAATATATAATAACCTAGAGAGATAGCGAGCGGATGATAAAGCAAAACGCGGGGGGTTGCTGGGGTGGGGGACGGGAACAGCGAGAACTGAAGAACCTAGCAACGGATAGATACATGGGGCTCTTTGCACAAGTCTCAAAACTTTTCCATTAGTTCAAAATTATATCCGCTAAAAGCTGCGCCCGTGAGAAAAAATTCCATGCTGTGGCCCTTGTTGTTACCTGGCGTCTTTCCAAACATCCTTCTAAGTGTGTGGACAGGCTTCTAAGAAGAGGGACGCCTGGGTGGCTCAGTTGGTTGGTTAGGCATCCGACTTGGGCTCCGGTCATGATCTCATGGTTCATGGGATGGAGCCCCACATCAGGTTCTCGGCTGACAGCATGGAGCCTGCTTGGGATTCTCTCTCTCTCTCTCTCTCTCTCTCTCTCTCTCTCAAAATAAATAAGTAAACTTAAAGAAAAAAAAAAAGGAAGAAAGAAAGCTTTGAGGCAATTTTCCTATTTCTGCTGGGGCCCTGAGTGGAAGAAAGTGATTCCATATTGGAAATTATAGAACCACTCCAACCAATCTCATGTGGCATGGGCTTGAGGTCGAATTGGGTGGTTGAGGCACTGGGACGCTGAGAAATTAATGCGATGACGGGTGGACTAGTGATGTCCCTGGGTCCTCTGCCAAAGGAAAGGCTAATGCTTCTCTAGAGAGGCGTCACTCAACTCCGATCGCACGGAGGAAGGCTTGAGTGAGTTCCTAGTCCAAAGTCACGAAATACGGGAGGGATCCAGGCACATGGTGTGTATATTGGCAGGCACACTGAACACGACTAGACAGCCTTGCCTCGCCCTACCCCGCCCTGCAAAAACTTTATTTACTTTTTTAGATTTTATTTTTAAGTGTGTTTCTTTCTTTATTTAAGTAATCACTGCACCCAACGTGGGGCTCACGCTCATGACCCTGAGATCAAGAGTCACATGCTCTTCCGACTGAGCCAGCCAAGCGCCCCTTTCTATTCCTACTCTTGTCTGTGTTTTTTGCTGTCATATCTGAGAAACCATTGCAAAACCCAACGTCATGAAGCTTTCCCCATTCTATGTTTTCTTCTTTGATCTTTATAGTTTGGGTCGTTAGGTTTAGGTCCCTGATTGAATTAGAGTTAATTTTTGTATATGGCGTCCAACTTCCTTCTTTTGCATGGGGATATCCAGGGATGCCAGCTTCCTCGTTGGTTGAAAAGATCGTGGTGGGGTCTTTTAATGTCAGAAGAGCTTTTAAGGATGGACACAAATATTCACAACTATTTGGGTTTCTTTGGTAATGATTAATGAATTTTTAAGCAATCCCCTTTCCTCTAAACATTCACTGACTACGTCCACAGCTAAAAATAGCTGTGCATTTCACAATTTTAGATTTCACCAAACATCTGAACACTGCAAACGTGATCAATGGGCTTCCACAAGTCTGGCATCTCAGATTCCCCTAAATGAGTTAAGTGCCTTGAAGAGAAGACAAACATTAACGCAATCTTGATCGGACGTTTTGAAAGTCGAATATACCAGATCCTTCCAAATGTCTTTAGTATCTCAAGGACAGATCAGAGTACAGTGATCAGCAAATCAATCAGTTTCTTTACATGAAACTGACACAAAAGTGTCAGTGTCACGGGGCACCTGGGTGGCTCAGTCGGTTAAGCGTCCGACTTGGGCTCAGGTCATGATCTCGCGGTTCATGAGTTTGAGCCCCGCGGTGGGCTCTGTAGCTGACAGCTCGGGAGCCGGGAGCCTGCTTTGGGTTCTGTGTCCCCCTTTCTCTCTGCCCCTCCCCCGCTCATGCTCTGTCCCTCCGTGTCTCTCAAAAATAAATAAACATTGAAAAAATATTTCTAAAGTGTCAGTGTCATGGATATAAAGGTGTTTGTTTCTTCAGTACCTCTCTTCTGATCAAGATTTTGATTTTGATTTAAAGGTCCTGATACTTCCTCTTCCTTGTGATTTTTCGTACCTGTCAGACAGGTAGGCTTGGGGCGCCTGGGTGGCTCGGTCTGTTAAGCGTCCCACTCGTGATCTTGTCTCAGGTCATGATCTCATAGTTGGTGAGTTTGAACCCCCATCGGGCTAGTGTGGAGCCTGCTTGGAATTTGGTCTCTTCTCTCTGCCCATCCCATGCTTCTGTGCTCTCTCTCTCTCTCAAAATAAATGAATAAACCATAAAAAAAACAAGAAGAAGAAGAAAGAAAGGGAGGCTTCACTCGTCCATAAGCCAACAATTTGGGGGTTGAAGGTTCAGTCCTAGGACACGAGCCCTGCTACCTTCCAAGTTAATTCCCACCAAGCCCAGATTCCGGGACAGGTAGACTTTGTCACTTTCACACAGATTAGGAAACTGATTTGGGTGATCCTGATTTACTTCCCACAGCTGTTCGCTCAGAGCGGCAAATCCTCGTAGCACAGCCCGAAAAACATTCTCTAAGAGTCGTCCTATCATCATAGGCAGACGTGATTTAGCCGCTGTTTGTTCTGGAGCCT